GGAATGACAAAGCCTCTACAGCGAGTTGCATTTGAAAGATTCAAGAACCAACTGGGAGTTGTCTACGGACCGGACCTGTCCTGAGGGGGAGTGTTGAGAATATCTGGGTTCAGTCCAGGTAGAAGGTGCTTGGGGATCACATGATGTGCTGGTGTGGCAGGCACTGCCCGGTGGGCAATAGCACCCACCACAATAACGTGAGACCTTGACACCAAACCACGATAGTTAATACAATACGTTGCAGCCACCCCGCCTTGTCCCTCCTCCCACTCGGTTATCCATAGTAGTCATACTACTAGAGGGACCTTGTTCCAACAGGTTATGAGCCCGGGTCGCTTTCAGCGCATCAGCATGTTCGCGAAGGAACTGCTGGTTGGGTGAGTGACCAGAGCCGAGTAAGGGTCAGAGCATGAGGCCAGCGCCGAGTAGGGCCAGAGCCGGAGTCAGCACCGTGAAGGGCCTGCGTTGCAAACCACTCGCATTACTTTGTCTCCCTGCCTTAATTGCGGGGGTGTGTTGAGAAGGTGTATGTACCAATCAACGCAGGGGCAAAGAGTGTTCACTTTTTGTCTCAACAATATTGCACAAAAGTGATGGATGTTGATGATTGTGTGTCTATCGTGTGTCCGCGCTTGTGTGAAGGTCGTCCGAAGATGATCTTGGGTTGGTTCTCGGGGATGGAGTGATGCGATGGACACGAGGTTGTATAGCACGATTGGTAGATCGATGTAATATACGGGGAGTTGAGAATCAAGTACTAATCCTTAGATTTCGAAGTTGAACACAATGAACCGTAAGGGCTCATTGCCTATTGTTATATACTAATGAATGTCCTATGTCCTATACGTCCTACGTTGTCCTACACTGTCCCATGCGTGGGACCTCGTGGTACATCGTGGGATTCCTTGGGACACACGTGACATGTCCCATGGTGGCGTTCCGCCAAGCTTTGTGGGATGCGGGGCAGGCTTACGTCATTGGTCCTTGTACACCTTTGTACGCCTTTGTCTGAGAAGGGATTCCGACAAGGTCTCCATCCTTCTGCCCTTCATATCTTGCACTGTGTCCTCTCCTTAGGTTCGTAACAGCTTGTGGCCCTCTTGAGGGGCGCACTGACCCTCTCTACGCTGATTGGTTGCTGCCAATGTCGAGTAACCCTGCTATCTGACAAGTGTAAGCGAGAATCTGAGCTATATGAGGACCGGATACTGCACCCAAATCCGAGTGCCCGGTAGTGAAAAAGAGTTGGATAACTAGATGAGTGTAAAACGCCTCATGCACTGACGTGCTTGAGGAACCGGTCTTTCTCGGTAAGGAGTCTTCCGGAACCGGTCTTTCTCGGTAAGGAGTCTTCCGGAACCGAATGCTCGGGATTTCATTCGGCGAGACTACCTTGGACAGTCACAGTCTATCCGCTCTGTCCTTTACCTGAGAGTTAGCTGTCAACTACGGTTAAGCGTCGTAAGCCCGAACTGCTGAAGTATCTAGCTGTTTCACTTCCGACATGGGAGGGTGGCCACTAGAACAGCCTTGACTGGATTTGGCGAAAGTCTAATATATCATCTGTGCAGCCCTGGTTGGAATTCGGAAAAGCTAGGCTCTTGAGCCGAGGGTGAGCCATCCTAACTAATCTTACTCCACTGATTACCTTCCAGGTGCAACAACAGATGTGGTAGTTACAAGACTTTGCATAAGGAAACAGGGGATGTGTGGGTTGAGATGGAAACTGCATTCAAGGCCCGTGCACCCAGGTACCTATCGTAGCGCGGGGCCAAGAAGCTTTCAGTCAACCATTAGAGCCTAGATGCGTGAATGAACATCTGGATTCCGTGCTTCCATCCCAGTATCTCAGTTTCAAGGCTATCAAAGGAACTATGATGGTTGCTGTGTGACAGTTAGCCTGGGTATGCTTGTGTTTCCCCTTATAAACCCCACTCCTTCATTCTTCTAAAGTTAGGTGCTGTGGGGCCTGCTTACTACACATGTTTTCTATATTACGCTTTAGTATAAAATGTCATAGTTATCGCGTTGCTATCTAATGAATGCTACATTTTCTCTCTTTGAGCAGAAAGTGTTGGTTGGCTTTGCACTAAGTGCGTAAAGGGAAATAACGGTAACTAGGAATGCATTCTGTTCGGTTGATTGTTCTTCTTCTTCTATCTCTCGGTTGCTATGAAGATATACGCGGGGTAGTACGAGTCATACCGAAGTAGGGCCGACGCGGCCCGTGATTAACACCTGTAATCCGACAGAAAGACTAGTATAGCTCTAGCTAATCATATATATTCGCTCGACATACCCTGCGCGCGCTGTCCCGCACTGTAATACGCCTCTCCAAGTCTATTACACTAGCATCTTTTTCCTACATATCTTTTCCCAAGAGAAACATGGCTCCTAGTAGTGCTGCTGCAGAGCGAGCTCCGCTACAAGAGTGGTTTGTTATCTGCCCGGACTTTGATGGTGTGTTGGAGAAACGGCTCAAAGTGCACCTCAGTCGACTAAAACAGGACCCGGATGATTTCTGGCTGTGGGGCGGTGTGTTCTCTCTTCACCTACGCTATGGTCACAATCATAGATTTATAAACTAACACGTAAGGCGGCAGGACCCATGCTTGAAGAGGAAGAGGTTTCCGATGGAGACGGCTCCTCTGCACGCGTTTTCTTCCCCTCCCAGGTGGACAGCCAGCTCAGCGAGCGGCTGCCTAGCTACATGGTACCCGGAGTCTACTTTTCAGTCGCGCAGCTTCCCATGACAACGTCGGGTAAGACAGACCGCAAGCGGCTGCGCGAGATTGGGGCTACATTCTCAGCCCAGCAGCTGGCGGAGCTGCGCACGCGCAGCCAGGGACCAAAGCGGCAGCCGTCGACAGACAAGGAGAAGGCAATGCAGCAGCTGTGGGCGCAGGTGCTCAACATCGACGCAGACAGCATCGGGCTGGACGACAGCTTCTTCCGCCTGGGCGGCGACTCGATCGCAGCCATGAAGCTGGTGGCCGAGGCACGCAAGCAGAATGTTCACCTTACCGTCGCAGCCACTTTCCAGCATCCCAGGCTCGTCGATTTGGCCGCTTGGGCTGGCGGAGTAGATCCAGCTGTGGCGCAGAGCATTGTGCCCTTCTCCCTTCTGAACATCAACTCCGACGTCGACACAGCACGTATCCAGGAGGAAGTCGCTGCTGGCTGCAACATAGACAAGGACCTGGTGGAAGACATCTACCCGTGCTCGCCGCTTCAGGAGGGCCTGATGTCGCTCACGTCAAAGCGGGCGGGTGACTATATTATGCAGAGTGTACTAGAGCTGTCAGTCAGCATGGATGAAAGCGCTCTACGGGCGGCGTGGGAGCAAGTTGTAGCATCTTCGGCAGTGCTGCGCACCAGGATTGTGCAGCACAGCAAGCTGGGCTTGCTGCAGGCTGTTATAGCAGAAGGGGTGCAGTGGATCGAAGCAGATAATCTAGCCACTTACCAGGCAGAGGATAAGTCTGTGACGATGGGGCTGGGTGATCCTCTGGCACGGTATGCACTGATTAAGGAACGCGGTGGTGAGAGGCGCTGGTTTGTATGGACAGTCCACCACGCCTTGTACGACGGCTGGTCGTTGCCTCGCATCGTGGGTGCGGTCGGGAAGGCTTACCAGGGGGCTGTCGTTGAGGAGCAGACTGGTTTCAACGCCTTCATCCAACACCTCTGCCAACAAGATCAAGAGCAGGCTGCAAGGTACTGGCAAGCTACGTTCGCTGAGTGCGAGGCTGTACCGTTTCCGCCACTGCCACCAGCGGTGGAGCAGCCCGTTGCGGATGCGATGTTGGAGCACATATGCCCGCCACTCCCTAAGACAACAGTGTTTGACACTACCACATCGACGCTGCTGCGCGCGGCGTGGGCTATTGTTGCGGGTAACTACACCAGCTCAGACGACGTCGTCTTTGGCGCCACGGTGACTGGACGAAATGCACCAGTTGCAGGCATTGAGGCCATGCTGGGCCCGACCATTGCAACTGTGCCTGTGCGGGTGTGTTTGACAAGAGACTGGACCGTGTCTGCTTTGCTGGAAACGGTGCAGCGGCAGGCGACCGAGATGATTCCCTACGAGCAAACAGGATTGCAGCGGATCGCCAAGATGGGAGCGGATGCGCAGCACGCCTGTGGCTTCCAGACGCTGCTGATAGTGCAGCCAGCTGATGACGGTCTAGAGAGCGACAAGTCACTAGGAAGATGGCAGACCAAGTCAGAGCTGCAGGACTTCACGACTTACGCACTGATGGTGCAGTGCACGCTAGCTACGGAGCGAGTGCAGATCACGGCCAGCTTTGATCCACAGGTCATCGAGCAGTGGCAAGTGCAGAGGATGCTGGGCCAGCTTGGCTTCGTCGCGCAGCAGCTGGCGGAAGCCGGTGGCAAGACGACAGTTGCTGAGATTGATACGCTCACTCCCGAGGACAGACAACAGCTGTGGAAGTGGAATGGAGAGGTTCCTCCGGTGGTGGAGCGGTGCGTGCACGAGCTGTTTGTGGAGCAGGCGCGGGCACGACCTGACGCGGCGGCCATCTGCGCGTGGGACGGCGAGATGAAGTACGGCGAGCTGGACGAGCTGTCGTCCAGGCTGGCCGGCTACCTAGTGGGTTTGGGCGTCGGGCCCGAAGCCATTGTTCCTCTGTGCTTCGAGAAGTCGATGTGGACGGTGGTGGCCATGCTGGCAGTGCTCAAGGCTGGCGGCGCCTTCGCTCCCCTGGACCCAGAACACCCAGCAAGTCGGCACGAGGAGATCTTCCGGCAGACTGGCGCCAGAGTGGTGCTTGCTTCGGCACAGCACTCGACGCTCTGCAGCGGCGGCAACCGCACCGTCGTGGTGGTCAGCGAGGCTGCCATGCGTGAGCTGCCCAGCGAGGCCAGCGAGGCCAGCACAACCGACAAAAGGACGACAACTCGCACAAAGGCACAGCCAGACAACCCTGCCTATGTGCTGTTCACGTCTGGGAGCACGGGAAAGCCCAAGGGCGTGGTGATTGAGCACAGGGCAATATTGACCAGCTGCTTGGGTCACGGAAAAGCCTTTAACCTTACAAGCGACTCGCGCTTTCTCCAATTCTCTTCTTACACGTTCGACGTTAGCATTATCGAGATATGGACTATGCTTCTAGTGGGTGGCTGTACTTGCGTCCCATCAGAAAGCGACAAGAAAGATGATCTTTCGAAAGCAATAAATGCTCTGGACGCGAATTGGGCATTCCTCACGCCTACTGTTGCGAAGCTTCTCGATCCAGAGCGCATCCCGGGATTACAAAATCTTATCCTCGGAGCAGAACTTGTAACAGATCACGACTGGAACAGATGGAGCCCTTATGCCCTTCAGATAACTGCATATGGTCCTACTGAGTGTTGCGTTCTTTGCATTTTCTACTCCGGTACTCTTGGCTTTTACACAGGCTTGCTCGGCAAGTCTGTTGCGTCGGTCAGCTGGGTGGTGGACCCCAACGACCACAACAAGCTGGCTCCCCTGGGCGCCGTGGGTGAGCTGCTCGTTGAGGGACCGATCCTGGCGCGCGGCTACCTGAACGACGCAGAGAAGACGGCGGCCGCGTTCATCGACGACCCGGCCTGGCTGCTGGAGGGATGCGACCAGCACGCGGGCCGGCGCGGCCGGCTGTACAAGACCGGCGACCTGGTGCACTACGATGCAGACGGCAATCTAGTGTACGTCAACCGCAAAGATGCGCAGGTCAAGGTACGCGGGCAGCGGGTGGAGCTTGGGGAGATTGAGCACCACGTGCGCGAGTGCATGCCGGAAGTAGGACGTATGGCGGTAGAAGTGATCATGCCGGGAGACGACAAAGACAAGGCGACGGTGGCTGTCTTTGTGGAACAGAAAGAGGAAGAGGTTTCCGATGGAGACGGCTCCTCTGCACGCGTTTTCTTCCCCTCCCAGGTGGACAGCCAGCTCAGCGAGCGGCTGCCTAGCTACATGGTACCCGGAGTCTACTTTTCAGTCGCGCAGCTTCCCATGACAACGTCGGGTAAGACAGACCGCAAGCGGCTGCGCGAGATTGGGGCTACATTCTCAGCCCAGCAGCTGGCGGAGCTGCGCACGCGCAGCCAGGGACCAAAGCGGCAGCCGTCGACAGACAAGGAGAAGGCAATGCAGCAGCTGTGGGCGCAGGTGCTCAACATCGACGCAGACAGCATCGGGCTGGACGACAGCTTCTTCCGCCTGGGCGGCGACTCGATCGCAGCCATGAAGCTGGTGGCCGAGGCACGCAAGCAGAATGTTCACCTTACCGTCGCAGCCACTTTCCAGCATCCCAGGCTCGTCGATTTGGCCGCTTGGGCTGGCGGAGTAGATCCAGCTGTGGCGCAGAGCATTGTGCCCTTCTCCCTTCTGAACATCAACTCCGACGTCGACACAGCACGTATCCAGGAGGAAGTCGCTGCTGGCTGCAACATAGACAAGGACCTGGTGGAAGACATCTACCCGTGCTCGCCGCTTCAGGAGGGCCTGATGTCGCTCACGTCAAAGCGGGCGGGTGACTATATTATGCAGAGTGTACTAGAGCTGTCAGTCAGCATGGATGAAAGCGCTCTACGGGCGGCGTGGGAGCAGGTTGTGAAGCAATCGATGATGCTACGCACGCGCATCGTGCAGCACAGCAGGTTGGGCCTTCTGCAGGTGGTGGTAGCAGGCGATATACAGTGGATGGAAGCAGACCATCTGGGAACGTACCTGGCAGAGGACAAAGCGGCGTCTATGCAGCCGGGCGACTGTCTGGCACGCTACGCTTTTGTCAAGGAGAGAGACGGTGGAAGGCGCTGGTTTGTGTGGACAATGCACCACGCTCTCTACGACGGCTGGTCTCTGCCTCGCATCCTGGGCGCTGTAGAGAAAGCATACAATGGTGGTGTTCTTGAAGAGCGGCCAGGCTTTAACGCTTTCGTCCAGTACCTTAGTCAGCAAGATCAGGAGGCCACTACCAACTACTGGCAGACTACACTCGCCGGCTGCGAGGCGACAATGTTCCCGCCACTTCCCCCATCAATACATCAGCCAGTGGCAAATGCAATGTTAGAGCACCAATGCCCGCCGCTCCCCAGGACAATGGCATCCGATACCACTACATCAACGCTGATCCGCGCGGCGTGGGCTATTGTTGCGGGTAACTACACCAGCTCAGACGACGTCGTCTTTGGCGCCACGGTGACGGGCCGCAACGCGCCGGTGGCAGGCATTGAGGATATAGTGGGCCCGGCAATTGCGACGGTGCCTGTGCGGGTGCGTTTACCAAGAGACTGGACCGTACCAGCCCTCCTTGCTGCTGTGCAACAACAGGCAACCGAGATGATCCCATACGAGCAGACAGGATTGCAGCGGATCGCCAAGATGGGAGCGGATGCGCAGCACGCCTGTGGCTTCCAGACGCTGCTGATAGTGCAGCCAGCTGATGACGGTCTAGAGAGCGACAAGTCACTAGGAAGATGGCAGACCAAGTCAGAGCTGCAGGACTTCACGACTTACGCACTGATGGTGCAGTGCACGCTAGCTACGGAGCGAGTGCAGATCACGGCCAGCTTTGATCCACAGGTCATCGAGCAGTGGCAAGTGCAGAGGATGCTGGGCCAGCTTGGCTTCGTCGCGCAGCAGCTGGCGGAAGCCGGTGGCAAGACGACAGTTGCTGAGATTGATACGCTCACTCCCGAGGACAGACAACAGCTGTGGAAGTGGAATGGAGAGGTTCCTCCGGTGGTGGAGCGGTGCGTGCACGAGCTGTTTGTGGAGCAGGCGCGGGCACGACCTGACGCGGCGGCCATCTGCGCGTGGGACGGCGAGATGAAGTACGGCGAGCTGGACGAGCTGTCGTCCAGGCTGGCCGGCTACCTAGTGGGTTTGGGCGTCGGGCCCGAAGCCATTGTTCCTCTGTGCTTCGAGAAGTCGATGTGGACGGTGGTGGCCATGCTGGCAGTGCTCAAGGCTGGCGGCGCCTTCGCTCCCCTGGACCCAGAACACCCAGCAAGTCGGCACGAGGAGATCTTCCGGCAGACTGGCGCCAGAGTGGTGCTTGCTTCGGCACAGCACTCGACGCTCTGCAGCGGCGGCAACCGCACCGTCGTGGTGGTCAGCAAGGCCTCTTTCGATAGACTGTCAAGCGCAAGCGACAAGGCCAACGTGATATCGAAGCCAAGTAGTATTGCGTACGTCATGTTCACTTCAGGCAGCACAGGAACACCCAAAGGAGTCGTCCTAGAACACAGAGCAATTTCAACAAGCTGTCTCACCCATGGAGAGGCGTTTGGCTTCTCGCCTAGCACTCGAAGCCTTCAGTTTGCTGCCTACACCTTTGACGCGTGCATCACGGAGATCATCACGGCCCTTTTGTTTGGCGCATGCATTTGCGTTCCCTCCGAGCTGGACAGACGCAACGACTTGTCGAACATTTCAAACACCTTGAAAGTAAGTTGGGCATTGCTTACGCCAACGGTTGCACGAACACTTGACCCCAAAACAATTCCATCGCTCAGAACCTTGGTACTTGGGGGTGAGCAGGTGAGCCGCGTTGACTGGGAAAGGTGGAGTCATCTTGAAAAGCAGATAACTGGATATGGTCCTTCTGAGTGCTGCGTTCTTTGCAATTTCTACTCCGGTACTCTTGGCTTTTACACAGGCTTGCTCGGCAAGTCTGTTGCGTCGGTCAGCTGGGTGGTGGACCCCAACGACCACAACAAGCTGGCTCCCCTGGGCGCCGTGGGTGAGCTGCTCGTTGAGGGACCGATCCTGGCGCGCGGCTACCTGAACGACGCAGAGAAGACGGCGGCCGCGTTCATCGACGACCCGGCCTGGCTGCTGGAGGGATGCGACCAGCACGCGGGCCGGCGCGGCCGGCTGTACAAGACCGGCGACCTGGTGCACTACGATGCAGACGGCAATCTAGTGTACGTCAACCGCAAAGATGCGCAGGTCAAGGTACGCGGGCAGCGGGTGGAGCTTGGGGAGATTGAGCACCACGTGCGCGAGTGCATGCCGGAAGTAGGACGTATGGCGGTAGAAGTGATCATGCCGGGAGACGACAAAGACAAGGCGACGGTGGCTGTCTTTGTGGAACAGAAAGAGGAAGAGGTTTCCGATGGAGACGGCTCCTCTGCACGCGTTTTCTTCCCCTCCCAGGTGGACAGCCAGCTCAGCGAGCGGCTGCCTAGCTACATGGTACCCGGAGTCTACTTTTCAGTCGCGCAGCTTCCCATGACAACGTCGGGTAAGACAGACCGCAAGCGGCTGCGCGAGATTGGGGCTACATTCTCAGCCCAGCAGCTGGCGGAGCTGCGCACGCGCAGCCAGGGACCAAAGCGGCAGCCGTCGACAGACAAGGAGAAGGCAATGCAGCAGCTGTGGGCGCAGGTGCTCAACATCGACGCAGACAGCATCGGGCTGGACGACAGCTTCTTCCGCCTGGGCGGCGACTCGATCGCAGCCATGAAGCTGGTGGCCGAGGCACGCAAGCAGAATGTTCACCTTACCGTCGCATCCATCTTCCGAGCTCCAGTCTTAGTTGATCTTGCCATTCATTTTCAGACTTCTTATTATCCGGCCTATCGATCCCCGGCCCAGTTCTCTCTAATAGATCCTGATCTCTTAGAGCGTATAACTTCCTTTGGCATGCAATTTCAGCCTCCTGCACCTGTTGATGCCGTCGAAGACATTCGAAAAGCCACATCCACCCAGAGAAGATACCTTACTGCGTCTGAACTCATCCCTCGTCCGACTTTGAACTATTTCTTTCTCGATCTCGATCCAAGCTTAGATGTGGCCCGTTTAGAGAACAGCTGCCGTTTGCTTGCACGTCATTTCGTAATTCTTCGGACACATTTTGCCTACTTTCAAGGCCACCTACTACAGATCGTTCTTCGCAAATTCGAAGTACCGTTTGAGACAATTGAGGTCAGTGGGCCTATTGAAGACGACTCAAATGCTGTGGTTCTACGCGACATCAGTCATTCATCAACGCTCGGCGTACCGACTTCGTTTATCTTTGTCCAGAATCCCTTGAAGGCCGCTCGACTAATCATTCGTCTGTCTCATGCTCAGTACGATGGCGTGTGTTTTCCAATCATTCTCGACACGCTCGCATCGCTCTATCGTGGCGATCCTTTAAGCACTCCCCTGGACTTCTCAGCCTATGTTGCATACTCTCATCAAAGAGCCCCCATATCTATCCAGTATTGGAAAAACCTTCTCAGAGGCTCACACGTCACCAGAGTTCCCCCGAACCTGTCTATGACGGCTAGCAACAACAGAGGACCATCCAAAATCTTCCAAGAACGTTCCATACTCATACCTCAGCTCCCTGACCGAATAACCACTGCGTCTCTTGTCAGTTCTGCTTGGGCAATAGTTTTTTCTCACATCAGCGGACAGAGTGATGTAGTCTACGGATACTTTGTCGCCGGAAGAAACTCCAATATCCCAAGCATTACAGATATAGTCGGTCCCTGCGTCAACATCATTCCAGTTCGGGTGGATGTCTCTGCAGCGAGAACAGCAACGAACCTTCTCCTTTCCATCCAAGAACAGCATATTTCCCTTGGAGAATCAGACTCCCTTGATTTCGATGAACTCGTCGAAAAATGCACCGATTGGGATGCTGATACGACTTTCGATTCGTATCTTCAACATGAAGGCCATCAACAAAATTCCAATTTCGAAATCGCCGGAGGATCATCCAAGCTACAATTCTTCCAAAACCCTTTTGTAATACCACCCAAGCTATTCGTCTTCTCTCAAATGCAGGCTGGCATTTTAAATGTCTCAATCACTAGTAGTACGCATTTCCTCACGGTCTCATTTGTGGAGAAGTTATTGAATATGCTTTGCGAAGTAATCTTGAAGCTATCAGTTAACACTCAGATGACAATAGAGTCATGCAAGCTCTCTTTGTCGTCCTATACCTAGTTACACAGGGTGTTTTGGACTATTACATTCTTCCTGAGAGCACCTTATCTCGCATGCCATCTTTTCAACAAAATGGCCGCAAATTTTCAGCAAACACTATCATAGGTGACTCGTGAATAAGAGCATGGAACCTAATGCAGAGAAATATTCACACTGGATTACCTGCTGGAGAGCCGATACTGCATACCTCATTCAACATGAGGATTTTTTTGTTTGGTTTTTTTGTAATTTGATTTGTTTTTTAATTCGCCAAAGCACAAGTAGTGAACTACCTATAGAAATAATCGGATATCTTTTGCCAAACATGAGCATCGTTATCCATTTCAAGAAAAAAACAGCATGAAATACCTACTCGGGCCCAACGGCTGCTGTAGCAGAATTTCAATGAAATTGCCCGTGCTCCGCACGGGCCTATCACCTCAACGATAATAATCACCTCTGTTGGCAGGGCTTTAACACAGGCATTCATCGATATATCGGTCGTAAAATACTTGTATTGGGGTCTCTTGCGAACCCTCTACAGGGTTCGCACGATGATAAGAAACGCGGGGTGGACTAATCCGCTAGAGGCTTAGCCCACAGCGCTAAGCTCTTCGCGCTCGATGTTTCCACAACATCAATAATAACTGTCAGATATGAGGTAGTATTTGGTAGAAGGGAGCGGAGTTGAAGATAGCACGTTCCATAGACCCCTTAGTCCCAAGAAGGACTAGGACAGGGCAGACTTCCGCCTCATCCCTCGCAAGACTGCAACACACAACAATACACACATTGAACCCCAATCATCACCATTGTTGACACGGCAAAGGTGTCGAATATCACTGTCGTTGCAACGAACAAAGTATATGATATTTGATTAGTAGTGAGCAAGAGCTGGGTGGAGAGATCTCCATATGTACGGGTGCGAGCTGAGCGGGAAGCTTGGTCTACCTAGTGGTCCAAGCTTCCGGCCCGGAAAAACTCGCCGGGCTGGCTGTACGCGCATGTCCCGACACACTGAGAAGGAGGTTACAGCTGTAAAGGCTATCAAAATTGATGTAGATAATGAGTGGGAGGATATCAGTGAATAGGCTGTCAAAACAGTAAATGCCAAGACCTGTGGTGCGTCAGTGCGCTGTCTACCCCTGTCGCGAAGACTTTTGACGCGCTCCTCCGTAGCCTTGCAGCAGGATGCGGAACGATTCACGGTGTGTCGTTCGCCAAGGAACACTCGGATGCCATTTCCACACACTCACGCGGAGTAATTTCCCGGGCGGATAGACACGGCTATGATGCAGAGGCACCGAACTGGTTGTTGATAATAGCATTGACCATATCGGCTCTCTGACACTTCGCTCTCATATGTATTGACACACGACTAATTAATTGCGATGGTATAGGTCAGAGTCGTGAAGAGGTGCGTCCCACTGGCAAGTCAACGTCAAAGTTCTCGTGCGTCATGCTTGGCGGCCGTAACCAAGTTAGGCGGGTACGAACAACAGTCGCACCGAAATTGCGGTATACTAACCAACCCCTGCATAACGGTTCGACACTGAGCTGGGGAACATCCTTAGCAGCTCCTTTCCGCTGTCTCCGTCAAGGGAAGCCCCTGTTGAACTTGAAATTTCAATGTGTGGACCTGCCATCTGGCTAACAATGATAGTCGTCTAGTAATACCCTAAGAAACTTCTCTCATCACGCTCATTTCGACATGCTGGCTGTGTCACACCGCATGTTATTGGTAGCGCGAGATCTTCCATCTGGAGCGTCCTTCGTCTCCATGCCCTGTTGGACCAGCGGGCCAACTAAGTCCGAATAGGGGCGTATTTGCCAATCGCGACCGTAAGCAATCTGACTGATACCCGTCACCTGCTCCGAGTTCTCGGAGTGATCATCATCATCACAAGGAACTCAAAGTCTGATTGCTCAACACGGGCAAACTGAATTTCAACTTCATCAGATACTAGATGACTCTCGAAGAAGACGGAAGACGAAAGACAGAATGGCGTGTCTGTGGTGCATGTGGTAGTGCCAAGCCTCCCCATCATATACATGTTCTGAAAACCTTACCCCGACAGTCTTACCGGCAGCATCGTGGCAGCGATCATTTACGACCCGAGGGCGCTCGAAATGCCTTGTTACGTATGCATGCCATTTGGCGGTCCGTTTCCATTACTATCATGACAATCCCCTGAACAGTCCATACCGCTTCATAATATGTAAGTATGTACAACCGTGATGGGTGATTCACCGCCATGCGAGTTCCGCCCTGGGAACAGACATCGAATAATCGGCCTCGGGCTGTTGTACAGGTGCTTGTGGACCGTGGTATCAGGGTACCCCGGTCATCCGTAGGGCGCCCCAGATGCTTGACTCAGGAATTGCCGATAATCCTAATGAACGAGAAAATTCCTACCAACCCCGTAGCTCCAAGCGAGACTATGCCACATCTGGAAAAGCAATAACGTCGAGCACATGCGTCTCGTAAATGTTCGAGAAAGGGTACAGGAACTCGCAATGAGGATGCATACAGTCAGTCATCAATTTAGTCTCATAAACCGATTGTGATTCAAGCAACAAGACCACCACACAACAAAAGCTCCATAATACCCTAAGTCCACGACACCTTCGGATGCGTAGTTGTTTAAGGAAACATGCATGCTATCTTGTTGGCTGGCAGGCGGTACCGGAACCATTCCTCGTATCTACAAATCATGCTGAGGGAGCACTGCTCTTGTTACCAGTCGTATGCCCATGACCAGCCCCTGACGGATCTGCCAACCGGGTAGTATTGCCCGTCAGTCCGTGAAGCCGTAAGCCGACAAGTCTGACGAGCATGACTAAAGTTCCAAACGAAATGAGTGTGAGGTGTATTCTGCATGCTTGGAAGGCAACGGCCAATCTTGTTGCCATGGAGCGACATTAAACCGAGTCCGCGTGACGATCTCGTCCAAGTCGTCGAAAGATGTGGGAGAATGCGGCTTACAGTAAGCACCGAAGCCGTGTTGCATTTTGATGATCAGACTAAAAATATGCCATCATGCTGGGCAGAGACAAGAGTAAGGGGGCACAAGTATTTAGTATATAAGTACTCATCTTTCGCATCTCTTACCGATTCTTCACAGCTACTATTGCCTACCGCCTGCCTTCACTGTCTTTACCACACTCCTTACCCACACTCTTTTACATACACATTAATTGTCCGGTCTTATTTGAACCTTTAACTCAACAATCAAAATGAAGTCCACTTTCTTCGCCACCGCCGCCTTCTTGATCGCTTCCGTTAGCGCCGCACCCGCAGGTCAAAACGCCCAGGCCAGCTGTAAGTTCAGACAACGCTTCCCAGACTTCCAGTGTACTAAACAACGAACAGGCGAGGCGAAATTCGGGCCCCTCCCTTGCGGCTCTACCAGTGGTGTGCCATACAACGTCACGAGCGGCGACACTTTGACCAAGATCGCTGGACAATTCAAGAGTGGTATCTGCGATATTGCGCGTTACAACAACATCACCGACGAAAACATCGACAAGCTAGAGATTGGCCAAGCTTTGATCGTCCCCCAAGGCTGTGCCGCTGGCAAGGCCGACAACACCACCTGCGTCAAGAACCGCGTCGTGGCCA